GAACCCAACTTTGAAATACACCCACAGAAGACTGAAGAGTCAGCTCAAAAGGCACTGAGCAGGCTCCAGTATCAGCTGTCAATGACAAAAGCCACATCAACGGCCAGCGTCCATATAAAACATTCTCCCATTAGGGCTGGCATCTGTCATATGCATTTACACACAAGCCAAATAAAATAGTGACAACAGGAAAAAAAAACCCATGGGAGACCTTTGCCAACTGCCTAAGTCTAAGGACTTTTCATCGCAACTGAACCACCACCAGGGCTGAGAGCTCCTCCCGTCCCCCCGAAACACAGCGAGCCAGCCAGATGGCAACTTTCAGGCAGGTCTCATCTTGACACCAGATCTGCTTCCGTTCAACCACTTGCCACCCTATACACCCATGGGGAGAGCAGATTGCCCGCTTCCTCCTCGATTATTTCCTTCACCCGAACCACTTGGGTCACCTAAGCAGCACCAGGGGAACTCCATCAACTGCGTTTCCTCAACCAACCAATAAGCCTGGTATGATCACTCAGGTGGAAAGCTCAGTCATGGTTTCCCTTATGAACCCATTTCTCCTTTCAATCTAATTTTCTTCCTCATTGTCAGAGGAGCCTCAGTCACAGTTCTACTGAGGCCAGCACTTCAGGAAGAAACTCGTGCACGGTACCTCACTGGCTGCGTAGCTGCTTTTTCTGACCAGCACACCAGATAAAACCAGTGCCATTTGGAAGATACCAACAGCTATAAATTCTCACTAATCCCAGAAGCTTGCACAAGAAAGGTAACAACAAGGAGGCCTATCCCTCACCCTGCCCTGCACAGGGGACTAGAAACTAAGTGCTCAGGACTAGTCCAATTACTCGGAGAATGTTTCCTTACATGCGCAGAAAAGATATTTTGGGACTACACCATTATGGCTGCAGAAAGCACAGCTGAAATTATGCTCATCTGCCAGGTCACAACGGTTCGTAAGAACTACGGATAACGACAACCCACTGCTTTTCATGAAGTTCATGAGCTAGAACGCGGCGAAGCCATCATGACAGCGATTCTTCAGAACACGCCAGCCCAGCAAGATTCAGAAAGGGGGCAGAAGACCTCCGTAACCTCCCAGCTCCGCAAAACAGAAAAGAAGGGGAGAAGGAGGGCGCTCGGGGTGCTGCGGTTCCCCCCCAGCCCGCTGGAGCTGTGGCTCGGCGGGGCCCCCAAACCCCGCGGCCCTCCCACAGGCGCCAGCCC